GGGCTTGCCGTGGATGCAGGCTGAGATTCAGCCATCAGTGCCCTCTCATCACAAATGAGGTACAACACATACTGGACTGCACTAGGAGTGTGGCCAGAAAATTGAGAGAAGTTACTAATACTTTCTACTCAGCTTTGGTAAGGCTGCTTTTGCAATACTGTGGCCAGTTTTAGGTCTCTTAGGTCAAAAGTGATGTGGAAAAACTGGAGATTATCCAGTAGAAGGCTGCCAATATGATCACGAATCCAGAGGACGTGACCTGTGAACTGAGACTGAAGGAGCTGAGCTTGTTTAATCTGGCAAAGAGGAAGTTAAGGAGGGCTCTGTTAGGTACCAAGAGTGATTTGAAAGATAATTACAAAGATGATGGAGCCAAATTCTTCTTGGTAATAGCAGATGTTATAAGAAGGGAAAATGGCTACAAACTGCAGACTGGGAGGTTCCAGGTGGACATTAAGAAAACAGAAAATTTACCAGAAGGTAGTGCAAGACTGGAACAGATGACTTAGAAGCTGTGGAATCTCTGACCCTGTAGGTAATGAAAATTCAGCAATGCTAAGCCCTGGCTGAGGTGGGCTAGTGTTGATAGTTCTCCTTACAGCAGGAGATTGGAGTGGATACCTTCAGAGGTCCTTTCCAACCAACATATATCCATGCTTTGAACTTGGCCAGGAGAGGTTTGGCAGCTTGTTTTCTTGAATGCAAAATCTGAGGTCAAACAGAACTACTGAGTTTGGCAGTTCTTTTCTGTTGAAAGAAGAAAGCTGGAAAAAATTCGAAAATATTTTCTTTTCTGAAAGTAGAATGGCATTTTGTTCAGAAATGCCTCTTCCTCTCAAAATTGAGCAGAAGTAATTGAATTGCAGTTCTGAAGGCAGAAACAGCCTTTAAAACAAAATATGTCATTCAATCCAAAATCAAATGGGAGGAAAAAGGAGTTGTCGTAGAAAGAAAATGTTACATGGGGAATTGATTCAATTTTTTTCCCCAATAGTTTTCAATTCTCTCACCAAACTGGAAAATCAGCTGCTCACACAGCTCTCACAGACCCCCTGACTGGTTTGGTCCCTAGCATTTTGCCTCCCTGCCTCTCTCAGAGCACTCTGGGTCTCTGATTACTAATGTAGGAGTGGTGTGAGTTGAATATACCTTTCCTCTCACCCTTTTGGGTGCTTTCTGGCTCTGCTTTGTCTGCATATACACTTTTTACCATCCTCATTCTCAAATCCCTGTTCTTTGCTTCACAAGGAAAAGTAAAATATTTTCCTCTAGGAGAAAGGACATGGCTATATTTTGTCTGCTCATGTCCAGCAAGAACATGGGAGAAACAAGTGCAGAGTCAATGGTGAGAAAGATGGAAGACAACACAATCACTTGCAAGGCACAAGAGCCACCAGCGGTGGTGGGGCAGGAGATCAGAGCTGCACTGTACTTCTTGCTGAGGTTAAAGATAACCACTGAGCAATTCAGTCCCATCCCTTCTGTGCTGTGGTTCTTTTTCCATGCTGCTTCATCTCTTTAAAGCTTTCGTTTCCCACAGAAGAGGCAACAAATGGGAGGTTAAAAGGCAGTGTTAGATACAAGGCCATGATGACTCCTACATGAGGGTTTAAGTCTTGTGCATCCAATGGGAAAGAAGCAGATACTAGTGAGGGTCACTGAATCTGGGCCTCCAGCCATGCATTTGCCTTAGAGTAGCATTGATTTCAGAGGGACATGAACCTGGAGGTTGGAATGATGGACAGACCTGGAGAGGCTTGTCTTGTTGTTTGGTTTTGCCTGAGTTGACAGGTTAAAAGTAAAGGGGAAATGGAGAGGGGAAACTCCCTTCTCCAATCTTGACATCAATCCAGTCTTTGCCTGGGGAATGCCTGGGTGAAAAAGTTCCTGTTTTCCCCAGGAGATCTGTGTCAAAAGGCCAGCTCCACTTACTCTTCCTCACTTCCAGTTTCCTCCTCCAGCAAATACCCTTCAAACCAGCTGGACCCTGAAGGTCTAACACAAAACAAGCACAAGGCCAAGGCTCTGGACATGAGACTGGTGTAACCATAGGATTGGAAAGCAGAGATATGGCACTGCTTGGACATTAAGTGCATAAATGCACCCCATCTACTGTACTGAGGTTGCACACCCAAGGAACACTACTGTAGCACCTCCTGGCTACAACTGAGAAAGCAAGCCCTATGAAGCAAATGCATGGCCTTGATAAGAGCTCATATGCACACACAGAGCACATTGCATGTCGTAGGGAGTAGAATGATACATATAAAGTTAAGAGTATCTGGATCCTTTCAAAAGGGCAAAAAATGAATGAATTCTGATATTGCAAGATATCAAGAGATTCTTTCTCATAATCCTGTTTCATAGGGAAGACTCAACTCAAAAAAATGTTGCAAATTTTGAAAATGGACTTCATCCAAAGATCCCAATAAGTTTACAAGCTTCTTGCAGCCTGGGAAATAAAAATCTAAACATCAACCTCCCAAGTACTGTCTTTGAGATTTTGCATCATCAACTGCAGGGAAATGAAAAGGGACCAAAATTGCCTTCAAGTCAGCCAAAATTGTTCTGATCACTTATATAGAAATATAGGTATACACATGCATTTGTTAATAATTTTATTAACTTTTCTTACTTGTACTAGAGTTTTCCTTTGCTGAGATGATCTTTTTTATTTATACATGAAGACATCTTAGCAATTGTGATGTCTCAAGGATACCAAGATAGGACCACTTGTATTTAGAGTCTTCCAGTTCATTAACGAAGACTCTTGTCACACAAATCTGAATCTACTTTGGTATTATCCATACGTACATGGGTGTGATTAACTCCTGATTTTTTGCTCCTACAGGTATTCCTTGCCCAATCATCATTGCCTGGGCCATTGGCAAGCTATATTATGAAAATGAACAGTAAGTGATGTTAACATTTATGCTAATGTGGCTCTCTAAATAAATTAAGAAATGCCTACAGGCTGAACTGGTAGTTTAGAAATGAGGCTGATTGATGGGAAAGAGGAAAGGTCAAATCACCTCCATGCAAATCCAGGTCATCACAAATTTCAAAGCACTACTTGAGTCAACTCCTGAAAATAACATTCCCACATATCCTTGTCCAAGACCTGAAGCTCTCATTTGATAGCTTTATACATGATTTACAGGCAGGGTAATCTCCTTCAACGGGAGTTTTGCTTGAGTAAGACCTTGGTAAAACCTACAGTTGAGTGCTAAAGGGTTTAGCTTTCTGGGTGTGCAAAATTCAGTTGACAGTCTGTCAAGAATAGTCTTATAGCTGAAATTTTTGCATTTCTCTTTCTGGCTTTTCCAATTAGAAGCAGTTAGTACATGAAATTGAAAAATATGGGAGACAAAGAGGCATCTATGTTTGGGGAAATTTTCCCCAAAACATCAATACTGCTCAGCTTGTACTTTTCAACTAGTGTTTGGATCAATGTCTGTTGTCTATTACAGCTCCCTTCCCTGACCTTAAAAAAAAATTCTTTTCTCCATGAATCTCTTTTTCATATGACCATGCTGTTTGTCTGTCCGTAGCACATCTGATTAAATGTGTCTACCTTATAGGTGTCTGCATCCGCAGTAATCTGTGGTCTTTTATGATCAATGGTGATCAGTCAAAACATTAAGTGCAGTCTGGGGTCCATTTCATCTCATCCGGAAGGAAAGGTCCAAAGTAGGTTGGATGACTTACATACACTATTTCTCGTGACTGTAGGGGAGATGGATAGGACGACTGGCTGGGCTTTGGGCATCCATGCGGTAGGCATGGGAGGAATTCTGTTATGCACTACTAAGTTCCTCTTCTCTGCTCCTCACACACATTTGACCCCTTGACCAATCTCTCTTCTATAGCTTTAATGGTGACTTTGAAGGTGATACTCTAAGTCCCAGGAGATACACATATTGGCAATAAGACAGACACCCTTTCACTGAGGAAAAAGTTTTGTGTGATTCCATCCCTGCCTACAGTAATCGTACAGGAGAATTCATACTGTAGTCTCAAAATGACAAGAAAAACTTCAGTTGGAACCGGTTCCTTGGGTGTCCAAGTCAATCAGCCCTGGGAGATAACCTCAGATCTCCAGATTTCCCTAATTTCTGTGCTCACAGGCCTTCTTGTTTCTGGATGGGTAAAGGGCCACAACATTCTGGGTCTACTTCATGGTCAGGTTCCTTGTAGCTTTTGCCTTGCACAAGCCAGAGCAGCATGGCAGCTGTCTCATTGTGCTGAAGTAGAACTTTCAGCTTTAGAACTGAAGGAACTAGTCAGCTTAAACAGCACAAAACAAAATAACCGAAACTTGTGTCTTGAAACCTGGAGAGGCAAAATGCCACGTTGTGCTTTAATAATGGTGATGCACATTAAACATTCCTGTTGTGAGTTCAACACCAAGGTTTGAACACCTCATTTTGGAAGACTGCTCATCACTCCCAAAAGAAATAATGGAAAGTAGGACCCCTGATAGAAACATGCCACAGCATCTGTGATCACACTGCACACAAGGTGGCTAGATGGAGAAACCACTGCATCTTCTGTACTTGTCCCACCTTTCACCACCACTGGGTAACTGCAAAATGAATGTGAAAGAATCTCCCCTTGATGTATTATAGATATGAAGAAAGACACACTGTGTTTATATAGGTATGTGTGCTACCTGTTGGCAGCAAAGGTGTAACTGTCCCAGATCCTGCACAACAAGAGAAAGGGGGCTAGAAAATGCAGTCAGCAGGGCAAGAAAGAGAAAGTGATCCTATTTGGTATGCAGAACATCCAGGCTGTTCCCGTTGAGTCTGTAGGCTCAAGCTTTCTGCCTTGGGTGGATTATCAAAAGGAGCTTGTGCTTTTAAATCCGTGTCATGGACATCGCTGTACATTCTAACTCATATACATCATTTGCCTCACATGCTCAGTGAGAATGGAGGGGACAGGTTACTCTTGGTAGACCCAGCCAATTAAACCTAATGTCTTGGGATGTTTTCACCTTTCTGTCCTTAATGCTGGTGTTTGCCTCGGAGTGAAACATTCACACATCCTCACTGCACATCATAGCTACTCCAAATGCATTGAGAACATCCCTGTGGTTTCTGCCCACCATAGTGTGAGATGTAATGGCCTGGAGCCTCAGTGTTTGCTCACTTACTGTCAGTGGCGGGGCCAAGATTCACATACTTTACTCTACTTGAGAAATGAAGACTGGATGATTTAACAGTGCCATTCCTTTGACCTGGGACATGCACCGAGGCAGACAGGCACAGCTCTTGTAAATGAAGAGTTCATAAGGACATTAAGCTGTAAGGCAAAGGCTATTAAACGAAATCTGGTTTTCACATTTGTAGTAATGTCATATGCAGGGCAGACTCAGCGAAGTAAATGAACTGAAGCAAAACAAGAGGTGAATAACTTGCTGAGGGCCTGTCAATCATCATAAATATTCAATCACCTTCTCAAGCATTAAAGCATGTGATACTTCAGATAGCCCCTGCTGACTATCTCCCGGCCTGAGGAAAGGAGCAGATTCTGCTAAACAGTCACATTGAAGCCAATGCAGGAATTCATCTATGCATACATGTGTGTGAGATGTGCACGTGTCTGTATTTAACTTGCTTAAGGTCTATTTTCCTCTCCAGTCCATCAGCCATTGGGACAGTTTGGACTAAACTTTGTGGCATTTACAGAATACTTTCTCTGTGCTAACATAATATAGAAATCATGCCTTTAATTTGAATTCTGTAAGTGTGTGCAAATATAGACAAATATAGAAAAAACTAATCCCTGGCTTTGAGAAAGAATTGCTGTCAGGATACTGGAGTATCTCTCATGCAAGGAAAGCCTGAGAGAGTTCGGAATGTTTAGACTG